AAGGCTATCAATCAAAATTGAAGGGGAAATCAGGAGCTTCACAGACAAAAAAAGACTGAAGGAATTTATCTCCACCAAACCAGCAATGCAAGAAATGCTAAGGGGTCTACTGTAAAAATAAAGAAATATTAAGTGAAGAAGGAACATGGGTATAGATTAAAAATGGCGTCAAATGAGTACCTATCATTAATAACTTTAAATGTAAATGGTTTAAATGCTCCAATAAAAAGACATAGGGTAACAGATTGGATAAGAAAACAAGACCCATACATCTGTTGTCTACAAGAAACCCACCTCAGAAAAAAAGATGCACACAGACTGAGGGTGAAGGGATGGAAAAAAGTTTTCCAGGCAAATGGAAATGAAAAAAAAGCTGGGGTAGCAATACTTATATCTGACAAATTAGATCTCAGATTGAAGGACATAATAAGAGATAATGAAGGCCACTTCATAATACTAAAGGGAACAATCCAACAAGAAGAAATTACCCTGGTAAATATATATGCACCCAATACAGGAGCAACCAAATACATAAAAAAACTGCTGGAGGACATTAAGGGAGAGATTCATAGCAATACAATCATAGTAGGAGATTTTAATACCCCTCTGTCACCCTTCGACAAATCATCTCAACAAAAAATCAGCAAAGAAATATCAATCCTAAATGACTCACTAGACCAGATGGAATTAATTGACATCTTCAGAACACTCCACCCCAAAGCCGCAGAATATACATTCTTCTCAAGTGCACATGGGACATTCTCAAAGATAGACCACATTTTGGGACATAGGCAAAGTCTCTTCAAATTTAAGAAGATAGAAATCATATCAAGCATCTTCTCAGACCATAATGGCATAAAACTGGAAATTAACTACAATAAAAATAATCCAAAGAAATCAAACACATGGAGATTAAACAGCATGCTATTAAACAAGGACTGGGTTACCAGAGAAATCAAGGAAGAAATTAAAAACATCCTGGCAACAAATGACAATGAAAACACAACAATCCAAAATCTATGGGACACAGCAAAAGCAGTTTTGAGAGGGAAGTTCATATCCTTACAAGCCTATTGCAAAAAACTAGAAAAAAGGGTAACAGATGATCTAACTCTACAACTCAAAGAATTAGAAAAGGAGCAACAAGAAAAGCCCAGTGTAAGCAGAAGGAAGGAAATAACAAAAATCAGAGCACAGATAAATGACATAGAGACCAAAAAAACAATACATAAGATCAACAAAACCAAGAGCTGGTTTTTTGAAAGAATAAACAAGATAGATGAACCTCTAGCCAGGCTAACCAAGAAACAAAGAGAGAGGACCCAAATAAACAAAATCAGAAATGAAAGAGGTGAAATAACAACAGACCCCACCGAAATACAACAGATTGTTACAAAATACTACGAACAACTCTATTCCAACAAACTGAACAACCTGGACGAAATGGACATATTCCTAGAAAAATACAACCTTCCAAAACTCAATCAGGAAGAATCTAAAAATCTCAATAGACCAGTGACTTGGGAAGAAATTGAAACAGTCATCAAAAAGCTTCCAGCAAACAAAAGCCCAGGGCCTGATGGCTTCACAGGAGAGTTTTACCAAACATTCAAGGAAGAACTAAAACCTTTCCTCCTCAGACTATTCCAAAAAATCCAAGAGGAAGGAACACTTCCAAACTCCTTCTATGAAGCCAGCATCACCCTAATACCAAAACCAGACAAAGACAACTCAATGAAAGAGAATTACAGGCCAATATCCCTCATGAACATAGATGCCAAAATCCTCAACAAAATTCTAGCAAATAGACTCCAGATGAACATCACAAAGATCATACACCATGACCAAGTAGGATTTATTCCAGGAATGCAAGGATGGTACAATATCCGCAAATCAATAAACGTGATACATCACATAAACAAACTGAAAGATAAAAATCATATAGTCATATCAATAGATGCAGAAAAAGCATTTGATAAAATCCAACACCTTTTCCTGATAAAAACTCTCAACAAGGTGGGAGTACAAGGATCATACCTCAACATAATAAAAGCTATATATGATAAACCCACAGCCAACATTATACTCAATGGGCAGAAACTAAAACCATTCCCTCTAAGAACAGGAACAAGACAGGGATGCCCACTCTCACCACTCCTGTTTGACATAGTTCTGGAAGTACTAGCCATTGCAATTAGACAAGAGGAGGAAATAAAAGGCATCCAAATTGGAAAAGAAGTAGTAAAGTTATCCTTATTTGCAGATGATATGATATTATACATAAAAAACCCAAAAGACTCCATTAAAAAACTAATTGACTTAATAAATGAATTTGGCAATGTAGCAGGATACAAAATTAATGCCAAGAAATCCACGGCATTTCTATACACCAACAGCGAAACTATAGAAACAGAGATTAAAAAAGCAATTCCATTTACCATCGCACCAAAAAAATTAAGATACCTAGGAATAAATTTAACTAAGGAAGTAAAGGACCTATATGCAGAAAACTACATGACACTGAAAAAAGAGATAGAGGAAGATGTAAAGAGATGGAAGAATATACCATGTTCATGGATCGGTAGAATCAACATCATCAAAATGTCCATACTTCCTAAAGCAATCTATAGGTTCAATGCACTCCCCATTAAAATACCAACGGCATATTTCACCGACCTAGAAAGAACTCTCCAAAAGTTCATTTGGAACAATAAAAGACCCCGAATAGCCAGAGCAATCCTGAGAAAGAAGGGTAAAGTAGGAGGGATCTCAATACCAGACTTCAAACTGTATTACAAAGCCACTGTTCTCAAAACAGCCTGGTACTGGCACAAAAACAGACATATAGATCAATGGAATAGAATCGAGAACCCAGATATCAACCCAAATCACTATGCTCAATTAATATTTGACAAAGGAGGCACGAATATACAATGGAGTCAAGACAGTTTCTTCAATAAATGGTGTTGGGAAAATTGGGCAGACACATGCAAAAGAATGAAACTAGATCACCAACTTACACCATACACAAAAATAAACTCAAAATGGATACAGGACTTAAACATCAGACGGGAAACCATAAAAATACTAGAAGCATCCGCAGGCAGCAAAATCTCAGACGTATGCCAAAAGAACTTCTTCACTGATACTGCCCCTAGGGCAATGGAAGCTAAAGAGAAAATAAACAAATGGGACTACATCAAAATAAAAAGTTTTTTTACAGCAAAAGAAACCATCAACAAAACAACAAGAAAGCCCACGGTATGGGAGAATATATTTGCAAATAATACCACGGATAAAGGTTTAATCTCCAACATCTACAGACAGCTGATACAACTAAATAAAAGGAAGATGAATGATCCAATTAAAAAATGGGCAATGGACCTAAATAGAATATTTACAAAAGAAGACAGAAAGAAGGCCAAAAGGCACATGAAAACATGCTCAAAGTCACTAATTATCCGAGAGATGCAAATCAAAACAACAATGCGGTACCATCTCACACCTGTCAGAATGGCCAACATTAACAAATCAACAAACGACAAGTGTTGGCGAGGTTGCGGAGAAAAAGGAACCCTCGTGCACTGCTGGTGGGAATGCAGACTGGTGCAACCACTGTGGAGAACAGTGTGGAGTTTCCTCAAAAAACTGAGAATGGAACTCCCATTTGACCCAGTAATCCCACTTCTAGGAATATATCCCAAGAAACTAGAAACACCAATCAGAAAGGATATATGCACCCCTATGTTCATAGCAGCACAATCTACAATAGCCAGAATCTGGAAACAGCCTAGGTGCCCGTCAGCTGATGATTGGATCCAAAAACTTTGGTACATCTACACAATGGAATACTATGCTGCCATAAAAAAGAAGGAATTCTCATCATTTGCAGCAACCTGGATGGAATTGGAGAACATCATGCTGAGTGAAATAAGCCAATCAATGAAAGAGAAACACCACATGACCCCACTCATTTGTGGATAATAAAGATCATTATAAACTGATGAACCAAAAGATAGATATAGAGACAGTAAAGCAACAAGCAGATTGACAAATTACAACGGGGAGTGGAGGAGGGTCTGGGGGAGACAATAAATCAACCCAAGGACTTGTATACATGCATATAAGTACAACCAATGGACATAAAACTCTGGGGAGGGAGGGGATACGTGGGAGGGAAGGAGGGGGGCAAAAAAAAATCAATAAAATATGTAAAATAAATTAAAAAAAAAAAAACACAGTTAGAGAAAGAATTGATTCTATTGCAAACATAGAACCAAGAACCCCCTCCTCCCCAAACATACACACCCGTCCTACAGAAAAGGGTTGGTGCGGTAGATGCCACATTTTGGGAAGAACTATCCCCATGGAACTATGTTGTTTTCCATCCTGCTTCAAATTGATCTTCCTACTTCTGCCTAAAACAACATGTACTGTTGGCCAATGAAGTTTAACTGTCTTTATTCTTTGGACTCTCCTCAGCCTTCTTCCTCTGACCATAATTGCTGTTGAACCTGAGGGTCGGTGTGGTTTTCTGGAATGATGCTCTGGAAAAACCATTAGCTTTGCAGTGTGGGTCTTTGATCTGGCTCTTCTGTGAACTCGCCTAGGGACCTTGGATGTATAACTTGGCTCTCCTCTCTCTCCTCCCTAAAACACGGGACTGAAACAAGGCAATCTCCCAGACTCCCCATGTCTCCGGAGAGTTACAATGTGATTCTTTGGAGACTCCAACAGCCTTTTAGATCCCCAACCTCTCTGAGAATTAGGTTTACTTACTCAGGTTTGGGGCTAATTTCGGGTTGATCTGTTGCAAATTTAATAAGGATAAAATCTTTTCTGTGTCACTCATGCCTCGTGATTAGGTTTTGGAAGTCCTTCTTTTTCAAGATAAGGATAAAGCTTCTAAGAATATAAATGTTAGAGATTTGGGAACTTGATTGAATTGCATTACCAAGAGATTCCCCAAGTGTATATCTAACTGTTGTTATTATTTATAGCGCTTGCTGAAAGCTTGGCTCACCAAAAAAGAAGAGGCGTTAAATAACATCCAGACGAGGAACTTTAGAGACCAAAAGGAGCTAAGCATCAGTGTTCGGCGCCTGGCTGTAAGTGATGTCATTGTCAGCATCTGTCCTGTAAGCCCGTGATATTTTAGTGTTTTACATCAATGGTTAAAACCATTTAGAAAATCCAGATCAGGACACATTACCTAACACAGGAATGCTGCCGGGGAATGGTCTAGAACCAGGACTCTTATGTTTTAGCATCAGATATTTACAAGGGTACATACTACTATAAAATATATACATGTTTTTACATGCCCTGACCGGGGAACAGGAAGATAAAGTCCTGTTAAAAGGGAGTCATCTAACAAATATCTGAAATACTAGATTTTGAAGGAAGACATGGAAATGAAGCATCAAGCATTGGACCAGCTGAGTGAGATTGGCCAGGATGTGGGTCAACTACTTGATAACCCTAAGGCATCCAAGAAGATCAACACTGATTCTGAAAAACTGACTCAGAGATGGGATTCTCTGGTTCAGAGACTAGAAGATTCCTCCAGCCAGGTATTGTTTGCTCCAGGTAGTATGTTGTGCTATTAAGAAGAAATTAAATTTCAGGTTAGTTTTAGTTTTTATGAACTAAAAAAGTAGTAGCTAAACTAAAAAGTTGGTTCCTTATATCTGGTTTACTATAAAATTGAAAATTGACATGAAAATGTTCTTTAGTTGTCTAAAGTAAATTTTAATGAATCTTAAAAACATTAATATCCAGTGATTTAACGCTTGCTAACTGATAACAGACATAAATCCATTAAATCATCTTTAAATTTTTTAAACATATTTTATTGATTTTTTAGAGAGAGGAAGAGAGAGGGATAGAGAGCTAGAAACATCGATGAGAGAGAATCATTAATCAGCTGCCTCTTGCACCCCCACTGGGGTTGTGCCTGCAACCAAGGAACATGCCCTTGACCGGAATCGAACCTGGGACCTTTCAATCTGCAGGCCAATGCTCTATCCACTGAGCCAAACCTGTTTTGGCTAAATTTTATTCATTTGAAAGCTTTGATAAAAACCCCAAAACTTTTGTATATACGTGAATGTTCATAACAACATTATTCATAATAGACAAAAAATGAAATGACTCAAATATACAATAGTGGATTGATAAACAAAATATGGTATAGTCATACAATGGAATATTTTTTGGCAATAAAAAAAATGAAGTACTGCTATGCTATGACATAGGTGAACCTTGAAAACATACAAGTAAAATGAGCCAGTACCAAGTTTATAGGCACCATGATTCTATCTATATGAACTACATAGAATAGATAAACTCATAGAGACAGAAAGTAGATTAGTGGGTGCCAGGAGCCAAGGGGGAGAGAGGATGGGAAGTGACTGCTAATGGGTACTGGGTTTCTTTATGAAATAACACAATTATTCTGGGAATAGAAAGTTGGCATGGTTGCATGAGTCTGTACACTAATAACCATTGGTTTTACTTCATCAAAGAAATAACTTTCTGGCATATGAATTATACCTCAATAAAGCTGTAACGGAACCTTAAAACCTTGGCTGATTTTATTTCAGGTGACTCAGGCTGTAGGAAAGCTGGGAATGTCCCAAATTCTTCAGAAGGACCTTTTGGGGACTGTTCACATAGGAGAACAAGTAACCACCAAAAGGTCTAAGCAAGAACTGCCTCCTCCTCCGCCAAAGAAGAGACAGATCCCTGTGGATATGGAAGCTAAGAAAAAGTGAGAGCAGACAGGAATTTTCCAAACCCAAGACCCCACACTATGCATTTTGTACTCAGTACTTATGTCATACTAATCACTAATGAAATGCAAATGTAGACATAATTATTGTTATGAACCACTCACTACCCCTGAGTGTTCTGAATATTCTACTCCCCACTGGCTAAGTATCTGTTGTCTCTCAAATGGTTTTATCTTGTGCTCATCCTGAACTGTGTGCTGATACCCTTTCTTCTTCCTTTCCTTTCGTTTACCTGGGAGGATAGGATTGACCCTCACCCTTCATTTCTCCATTCTTTCACTCTCATGATTCTGACAGTCTTGCTTTAGTTACATCTTTTTATTGTTTGTGAATCTGCTTTCTCTTCTCTCAAGTAGAAAAATACTTAATTTAGGGAATTAGTCTCCTTTTTTCTTTTTCTTTTTTTTCACCTTCCATTCTTTTTTCATGTTTTCTTTCTTCCTTTGTTAATTCTTTTTTCTAGATTCATTAACAGATTCTTTGTGTCTGGCTTGAAGATTCATCTTTAGCATATGCTATCTTTTCATCTTAGAGATTCAAAATAAACTTGGGTTTTTTTTATAAGAGAATTAATTACCCCTGACATAGATAGAGCTTTTATGAATACCAGCTACCCTGTTAAGCCATGCTGTAGCAGCTACCATATTTCCCCCAAAATAAGACATAGCACATGAAAAGATAAGACATCCCCTGAAAATAAGACCTAGTACAACTTTGGGAGAAAAAAAATTAATATAAGACACTCTGAATTGACGTTATTACAAGTGAAATGAGACAATGTTTTTCTTCCAAAGAAAGAGGAGCCGATGGAGGGCTGAGGAGAGCTTCCTCTCTGGTGTTAGCAGCTGGTCTCAGTGACCCTCCCCCTGGTGTGGCTGGCAGGGGCAGTTATGGGACGCTGCTCTAGGCATTTTTAATGTTGGGCCTTCCCTCATTTATCTGGCTTCCTTCTGCTGAACTGGATTCTGTTCTTCAAACTGTTATTTTTGAAGAGTTGCTTTTCAACAGTTATATAGCAGAACACCCTTAAGGAAACATGTACTTACCCTTGCTTATTCCTGTGGAGTGTTCACTGGGAATCAACACCAGAGTTTGGACGTGGTAACTCTTATGGGGCTAATCTTGGTCCTAAAGCACTTAGTTTTGTAGATCTTAGTAATCATAGGTGCCATGTACTGCATCCCAGCTCTGTACCTGTGCAAACATTATGTTTTCCAGGAAATTTTCAGGCAAGGTATTTGTTAATTTCCCCAGAGGCTTCTGAGGCTCAAAGAAGAGAAATTAGAAAGTTGGTGTTCAGACCTTAGCCTTCCTCTTCCTGGGGGCACACTTTTTCCTAGGACTCAGCATGGAGGGGTACTTGTGGGGCTCTTGGTTGTGAAAACAGCTTTTCAGATGCCTATCTGTGATCAGTTGGTCTGCATGGCTGGTGTCTGTTCCTCCCCTATTTCTTTTCCCTCATAGTGAAGGGTAAGCAAGGACAGGCGTGAGTGAATTGGGTGTCTTCACATGGTCTGTGTGTGAGAGAGAGGGAGGAAGGGTAAGGGTTGATGCCATAAAACTTCTCTTATGCCAAAATGGGTATCGTGGGGGCCACTTGTTCCAGTCAAGGCAGACAGTGACTAAAACTTCCTTGCAGAATGATGCTTCCATGCAAATGTCAAAAAGCCTTGGCCCAGGAGACTGTCAGTTTCCTTATTCAAAACTTGATTTATTGAGTTGTCAGTTATATGGCAGTAGAACTGCTGCTAACTCTTAAAAAGTTCGAAATGGAGATTGGCAGGGCCAGAAATGGCAGCTACTTAAGTGGGCAGGTCGAATTCTTCATGCACTTTCATATTTTTCTCTCTTCTTATTATATTTTTTAGATTTTTAAAAATGTATTTCAGAGAGAAAGGGAAAGGGAGAGAGAGTTGGAAATATCATTGGCTGCCTCCTACACACCCCACCCTGGGGATCGAGCCTACAACCCAGGCATATGTCCTGACCTGGAATCCAACCCTGACCTCCTGGTTCATAGGTTGATTCTCAACCACTGAGTCATACTGGCTGGACTCTCTCTTCTTGCACTTTTGTCTTCGTGCACACCCTACTGCTACTTGTCCTGACCATGTCTTCTGTGGTAAGATCCTCAGATGCTGGAGTCATTAAAAGAAGAGTAACATCACCAAAGCAAGTAATAGCAAAGAGTAAGAGTAGCATGGGCCTATGGAACAGGGGCAGGCTGGTGAAAGAACAGAGGGAAAGGGAACTGTGGAAGGTGCACAGTGGGATGAAAAAAGCTTTCAAAGCCGTGGATGGAAAGGGAGGAGGTGGTTGTGCAGGTGGTATAATATTCATAGAGCCAGAAAGGCCTCAGCATATCGGCACATGTTGCTTTCCATCTTCATCAGAGAATGGCCCTGCAAACTATAATAGAAAGTGTGGAATAATCATTACTGAGAGTGTATTAGAGCCTGAATTCTGAGTTAGATGGAAAAACCACACGGATCCTTCAGAAGCCTAAATCTGCATCCCAAGTCACCTGGGATTTTTACCATGGTCTCAAGGTCACATCATGTATTTTGTGAGAAATTACCAGAAAAATGGAGTCTTAATTAAAGGGGAGCATTGTTTAGAAGTGAAAGGCCTGAAGTAAGTCCTAATTAAAGGGGAGCATTTTTTAGAAATGAAAGACCTGAAGTAAGATGGATATTGGTTCTTGGCAATAGATAAATGACCAACCAGAGGTCTTATACGTGCTGGCAAAGGCTGTGTGTTTGTCAGGAATCAACATGGACACCACTAATAAGCCTTGTCCAGACTCATTTCCTTTAAGGTCTGATTTTCCTGTAAAATTATTGTTTTTGGAAATGGATATTCGATTATTTGAATCACAGACTCATAGAGCCACATTTCATGTTAGCTCATTTAGTTCAAATAAAGTTACAAACCATCATTTTTTGGCAAGCCTAGATTTCAGTAAAGTATTTGAGAAAATCTCTTATAACCTTATAAGACAGAGATGGAAAATTAATTGGATGCTAGTATTAGGTCGACTCATATTTTGAAAAATAAGCTGGAAATTTGTTGAATAATGAATGACATGGTGTCTTCACAGGGGAACGCTCAGATAAGCACTGCCATTGTCTTTATTTTTTACCTGAGAAAGCCCAATTACCCTCAAAGAAGTCAACAGAAAAGGAATACTTCAGTCTCAGATTTGCAGATAAGAAAGAGCTGGGAGGGTTAGCTGATACAAAAGTAGATAGACTAGCCCAGGTGGTGTGGTTCTGTAGTTGAGCTTTCACTTATGAACTTATGAATCAGTGTGGGGCGTGATTCTCTTTCATCATTGGTGTTTCTCTCTCCCTCTCCCTCTCCTTTCGTCTCTGAAATCAATAAAAAATATCTTTTAAAAAATAGAGGAACTAAAAATTCAAATAATTTTGTGAGCTAAGGAGGCAAAGTTTATTGTTTGTAAACATCAACTCCTAATTGTAAGCAATATGAGATAGGGGAAATGTAATTTTGTGGAAGTTACAGGAATTTTGGAGTTTCAGTTAACCATATTAGTTATAAACAATATAGTTATAAACAATCAAATAAAAGAGGAAAGAAACAAAACAACCCTACAATAGGAAAAATAAAACTTAAAGAATTTTAGATGGCATTTCATGAATGGAATTATCTGCAGTCAAATACCAGTTAGCCCCCTTTGTTGTCATTCAACCCAACATTATAAGAATACTCAGTTCCGTGTGGCATACCTACTGTAAGGACATTGAAAAGTTGTAGTTTCCAGAACATGTTGATCTGAGTGGGGAATGCAATGCTTGGATATCATGTCCTAGAGCCACCCTGGAAGGGATTGGGGATGTTTAACCAATGGGAGACTAAGGGGAGCAATGGTGGTTGCCTTCAAATCTGAAAGTATTTTTTGAACAGGATAGAAAACATATTTATTCCAAGGTTTGGGCGAGAAGCAAAGAATTAGAGAAGGTGCAAGGAAACAAAGCCAGCTTAATACAAAGGCAATTAAGAAGTCAGACTGATGGATGGTGTTGAGGGAGACCTTGGAAGGAAATGACCATTACTTCTCTCCAGTGATAGAGATCAAGTTGAACCTACGGACTTGCATTCTTTAAGGGCCACTCCCAATGTTGCTGTCTCTGAAGTCTCTTTCCCTCTGCAAAACATTTCCTTTCTTATCTGTTTTAGACCTCCCAGAACCATACACGGCATCGGGCTATTGTGGGTGTTAGTACATTGTGGATGAAAGCATGGAGCCGGGCAGTGGACAGTGCTGGGCTCTCAGATAATAGCGTCCAGCAGAACTAAGAATAACCTGTTTCATTCCCTCCACTATGCTCCTTATTTATTTCTGCTTTGAGTAGCTAACCGTAGAAGAAAATTTGTTCTAAATTGTGTAAGAACAAAAGATATTTCGCTGTTTATACCGAGGAAAGCATCCCCCCTCCCCATAATTTGAAGTTTTACTCCTAGACACTACTGACATTGAGGCAAAATAGCTTGGTTCATTGGGGGATGTTTTGAAATTTTTAGAATGGTCAGGAAACTGTCAAATCACGGGGGATCAAGTTATTCATGAAGAAAAATCATTATTTTTAAAATTGGAATATTAAAAAAGAAGTGAGTTAATGAAAATGATGATATCAAAGTTTTGAACGATTGCCTTTCCCCCCCCAATAGCAATAGATTTTGAGATGCAGTAGGTTGGATGTCACTGAGTAATATCCCCCTTTGCTATTGTGTTCCACAGACTGATTTGAAAGTCATTGAGAAGTGGATGGAGGGTGCGAAAGACTTCTTAAGGGAAGAGCAGGCAGTCCCAGGAAATGATGAAGGGCTACAAAGGCAGCTTGACCAATGCTTGGTGAGTCCTGCTGACCTAGGGGACCTGCCCTTATAAATAACATGTTCTTTTCCTTTATTGTTTGCGGCTATTATTCACATGGTTAGAATATGACATGCCAGCACACTGAGATAAAATACCTTTCATTATAAAGCTTCCTTTGCTTTAGAGTTAATAAAAAGCGACTGATTATTTATATTTTATCTTTGGCCATGATTATAGAAATTTGGATAGAGAGAACAAGAGCTGCCGTTTTGGGCCATGATGACAATCTTAGTGTCATGATTACCAATTGCATATTGCTCTTATTGTGCCACACGGTGAAGCATTAAGAAAAACATACTTAATAGTCGAAATTTCCCAGTAATACTGCATACAGCTTATATTTGGTGAAATCATTAGGCTTCTCTAAATTCATTAACAGAGCTATATCCTGTCGAAACTGATTTGGCTCAGTGGATAGAGCGTCGACCTGCGGACTCAAGGGTCCCAAGTTCGATTCTGGTCAAGGGCATATACCTTGGTTGTGGGCACATCCCCATGGGGGGTGTGCAAGAAGCAGCTGATTGATGTTTCTCTCTCATTGATGTTTCTGACTCTCTGTCTCTCTCCCTTCCTCTCTGTAAAAAATCAATAAAATAAATTATTTTTTAAAGTGCTATATCCTGTTGAGAGTCAAATATTTCCAATCTAATTTGGCAGGTGTCTATATGAAGCGCCCAGGTGAAATGAACTTCCTTTAGGCACAAAATTTTGAAGCAGTTAAGCTTTTGAGTCCCAAACATTCTGTTCTTACACTATTTGCAGGGATAAAAGCAAACTATAATTATGGCATACACTTCTATGGAAATGAACTCAATAATGTCTTAATTTATATGTTCAGGCTTTTGTTAAGGAAATAGATACAGTTGAATCATCGCTGAAAAACATGAAGGAAGTAGAGACACACTTTCCAAGTTGTCCAGTTGCTGGAATCAAAACCTGGGTGCAGACCAAACTAGTTGACTACCAAACCCAACTGGAGAAATATAGCAAGGAGGTAAGTTTTTCAGCTTTCCTGTCTGTGTTTTTCAAGAAGTAGATGCCATTGACAAGAGTGATTGTTGTGGCTCATACAGTCTGAAAACCAGAGAGCATACTGATTGTCCAGTTTGGCTCCTCAGGGGGAATGAGCTTGTCGCGCTTAGCAAAGAGCAAGAAAGGCACTGCAGCTGGGATTGAGTGAATGGGGGGATTGAGTGAGTAGTGGGGTGGAGAAGGGTGTTGGGAGGGGCTGTTTATGGCCTTGGAGACAAAGGCGGGGGATTCTGTTTCAAGGATCATGCCACACAGAAGGGAACTTATAGAGTTTTGAACAGGGAAGTGACATGTGACAGATCACTCTGGATTCATCTGGACAGGCAAGATGCCATTGCAGCCTTAGGAGAGCATGGCTCCTGGACTGGGAGATGGTGGTGGAGGCCATGAGAAATGTGCGGTGTGGACTGTGGTTTGTAAGTAGAGATGAGAGTTCAGTAATGGCCCGGAAGTGTGATATATGAAAAAGTGAACAGTCAAGGACAGGCTAGGGATTTTGCAAAAATGTTCACTTTGTGTGAATGGTGGCGCCATTTACTGAAATGGTGAAGACTCAAGGAGCAGAAGCTTTTGTTGGAGCATGTGTCATGATTTCCATCTGGAAGGGTTCAAGTCCAGATCCATGTTAGACATGCAGGTGGAGTTCCTTGGCACTTACCTGTGGAAAGAGGAAGGGGCAGAGGCCAAGGATGCTGAGAAGGGAAGGTCGGCCAGAGGAGAAACGCGCGGAGAGTGTGAAGTCCTGGAGGCGGTGGAGAAAGCTTCCCACAGAGCCTGGTGCTGGGATTGCTGAGGCCGATGGAACTGAAAAACAAGCTCTAGAGTTGTCAAATGGAGGCTTTTAAAGACCCAGAGAAACGGGGTGGGCGAGGGGCATGGGCATCCAAAGGGAGGCTTTTGTAATTTGTAAAAGTAAGAGATATTACAGGATATTTGCATGCTGGAAAGAAGGACCTCGCCTAGGAGGAGAAATAATGATGCAGAAGAGATTGAGGGAACATCATTCTGAAGTGAAGTCTGTGCTCATGTGTGAGAAGGAACGAAATTTACTCTCTAAGCGAAAGAATTGCTGATGCAGTGCTTCTCCCTGGTAATGGAAGAGAAAGGGACTATACTGACTGCTTCTCTTTTGTTAGTGAAACAGCAGTGGAGTGAGGAAAGGGGAGAAAATGTGAAATACAGGAATATTTCACAGACAGTCCTGTGGGTAGTATATCTCTTAATACAGTGTTTTGTTTTGTTGTTCTTTTTTTGGTTAGTGTTTATATAAAAATTTTATATTGCATCATTGAGTATTTTTTTAATGTTTTCCCTCCTCTTTCCCCCAAATTGCTTATTTTGCAAATGTTTAAAGTGAAAGGAAAGTTGAAATAATGGTACAGGGAGCAGCCGCATCGCCATGTCTGAATTTGCCCATGTTTAGTGTTTTACCATGCTTGCTTTCTCTTTTTCTCCCCTGATCTCTCTAAATACACACATGCATACATACATACATGTATATTTCTTTTGTTTTTGGTTACAAATGTACTTTGGACCAGGATTTGAATATATCCTCACACTTCACCCCTCAGTGAGGATGCTATTACACAAAACCGCCACCCCATGACCACCCTTAAAAGGCAGTTATAGTATCTTCCTACTAAAAGCCTGGCCGGCCATCTGGCTGCCAGGGATGGGCGCGTGCACCGTGGGCGCGCAGGTGAGCGGGGCGGGCTGGCCGCTGAGCGTGAGGGCGCCGGAGGGGGTGGATGGGAGGCGCATCGGGGAGTCACCCCCTGGGGCTGCGTCCCCAGGGCTAACCATCAGGGCAAAGGGCACCGCCTACTCCACCTCCACCTCCACTTCCATCACCACCTCCCCTCCCCCCGGGGAAATGAGATTCGGCTCCCCTGTCGGGATACACCTGGGCAGGGAGCCACCCACACGCCACGTCCACCCCCAGCCTTGTCCTGGGGTAGGGACATGTCACAAACCCCCCGGTCACTGCCTGCGCCCCACCCTGAGCTGCACCCCACAATGGAGCAATGACCTCGCGCCCGATGACGGAGCCAGAGCGTGGAACCCTGGTGGCCGGGCAACCTCTCCCCCACCCAGACCCGTCCCGCTCCTCTGGAGCAGTCGTGGATGGAGTGGTCCCTGTCGCGAAGACATGTTTTGTTGTTTCCGGCAGTCCCCCTGCTGCGACCGGCCCGAGGGCGGCCTTGGCGGCGCTTTCCGCCGCTGCTGCCGCTGCCTCCGCCAGCGGCCCCGGCGCCTGTGGCCCTTTTCTAGATCCAACAACAGAGAGGTAACCGGGCGGCCCGGGCGGCTTGGTTCCTTACAGCCCGGCCATCACTCTCACCCCTCACCGCCCCCTGACCCGGGCACCAGCTTAGGGTTAGAGGTAACCCAGGGGAGCCCAGGGCGGTTTCCCTAGAGCCAGGCCACCCCCCTCACCCCCTCAGCAGCCCCATGTCCGCTGGGGCACTGGCCCTGCTGGGGTCCGGGACTCGGGGAAGTCCTGCAGCCCCACTGGGAACCCATTAGGCTTAGAGGGAACCCAGGGCGGTTTGGTTTTGGTAGAGCCGGGCCACCACTCTCATCCTCCTCACCAGCCCCATAACTGGTCGTTGGCCCTGCAGGGCTATGGGACTCCAGCGGAACTCAGGAGTGTTCTGAAGCCCCATGGGGCACCGGCTTTGTCACTGCAACCCCATGGGTGCCCTCACAGACTCTGACAGGATGGAGAGGGAGCCAGACACCTCCACCGAGGACTTGGCAAATAGTGATACTAAAATATTTCTTCTAATTCCCTCTCAATGTGCACAAATTTGTGACTGTGTGATAATGTGAGGACCACCTAGCCTAATAAAAGGCTAGGTGGTCCTCACATTATCACGCAGTCACAAGATGGCCGTTCGCACAGTGGGGGCGGGGCCTGGCGGCACTCCAGGACTCAGGGCCATCCTGCTCATGCTGGCCCTTCAGGGTGGGACTTTGGGACTTGAGGCCATCCCATGGTTCTGGTGGGGTCCTCAGTTTCCTGAGATTTTATTCGACAGGTCATTCGTTATCTAATAATTTAGCCAAATTTAGATTTCTCTAAATGTGTATAATCTGATACTATATGCTTGAATGGGTTTTTCGGGGAAGGAAATAGGGAAAATGGTTTGTAAGTGGCAGTGAGGAGCCAGGAAGGTGATGGATACATACATACATACAGACATAGACCTTCAGTTCTATGTCTGTCTCTATCTCCCTATCTACCTAATATACCACACATATGACAGTATAGAATTAGCTGTGAATTATTACTCGTTTAAAACATGAAACTGAATCTATGGGACATTTTTAAGTATCTTAAGCAGCAGGCATTTCTCCAGACTATTGCATTTCACTGAGTCCTAAAAAGGTTGAAGAACTTTGAGATAAGCATAAATGCTGCCAAACTTTTATTTTGCTAAGAAGGGACAGGCATATGAAATCAACCAACAAGCAAATAACAGTCTATGTCCTCTATTCTACCTAGCCAGGAACTCATGAAAGAAAGAACACTATAATGCCAGAAAATAGAAAATTGATAATTTCAGGGAGTTAATTACAATTTTGAGCTTTGCTCTTTCTGAAAAGTTTGCTAGTGTCTTTATTTATTTTTATTTTTGCATTTCTCTATGGGTCCATGAAAATTATATAACTAACTAGTGTCCAGAAACTAGCAAAGAGAATGTTCTGGAAGGGGGGGCCCAAGAACTGTGGTGTGTGTGTGTGTGTGTGTGTGTGTGTTTGTGTGTGTGAAGCGGATCAGATTAAACTGCTGATCGGCCAGGCTTGGGCCAGGGCTGTGTGTGTTGCTGGCAGCAGGATCTTAGCGTACCAGACTGGCCTGAGATCAAAGCTCCTGTTTGACCCCTTTCTGTGTTTATGACTGTGATCCTGATGGAGAGTGCGGACAGGAAAGCCGCTAAGCTGTGTCCCTTACTCTCGTGAGAGCCATCTATTCCTGTCCTGGCCGTTGGTGACTATCAGCTGCGCAGCCCTGGCAGGTGACGCTGCTGTGAGGTTGAACTTGAGGGGGCGGGTGGATAGCGAGTGAGCATGGTCTCTGTGGCCTGGGCGGCATCTCTCCCCTAGTAAGAATGAGTTTGCAGTTAGAGGGCCGAGCTCTTGGGAAATATTTTAGGTTTCTCTGAAATTTTTAAGTTATTGAACCAAGTTGATAAAAAACATCTATTTTCTCATAACATTTTTGTGTCTCTGTGGAATATGAAAGTATAGTAAATTATCAAAATAAAAAGTGTATAGAACAGTATTTTATGAACATCGTTAGTAACAGGTTCCTCTTCTATGCTTTTAAAATTAAAATTGTTACAGTGAATCCTGTTAAAAAGGAGAAAGTGGGTATTTTAGTTGCATTTTCTTAAAATATTATCTTTTATTGATTTTTTTGCCCCCCTCCCTCCCATACATACCCTCCCTTTCTAGAGTTTTATGTTCATTGGTTGTACTTATATGCATGTATACAAGTCCTTCGGTTGATCTATTATCTCCCCCAGATCTCCCTCCCCTACCTGCTGTAATTTGACAGTCTGATTGTTGCTTTACTGTATATATATATATTTTTTTCTACAATAAACAATGCTACAGTAAAATTCCTTATGACATGTGCTTTTATTGCTTATAACATGTGCTTTTAGGTTAGATTCCTTAATTAGGGAAGTTATGCATTTTAAAAATTATAATAGACTAGAGGCCTGATGCACGAAATTCGTGCAAGAGTAGGTCTTGCTTCCCCTGGCTGCTGGCATCAGCTTTCCTCTGGCACCCAGGACCCAGGCTTCCCTCCAGCCATGGCAACAGGTTGTTTCTCTCATAACCTGGCTTTGTCTGGAAGGATGTCTAATCTCATTAACATATTGTGTTTTGATTATTATAGATATGTCCAGATTAGATTAACATCCAAAATGTGTACTAGAATCAAAGTTATCATTATTGTTTTGATTATTGCTTATATTTTCACAGCATCGGCAGAAAGTGTATAAAAGCTTTTATCTGAATTTTAACCCTAAAAGTCTTTGTGGGAAGTTACCACTGTACAATTAGCTATTAGAAACCTGTCATTTACTGTATTAACATTTATTTATTTGGCTAAATGGCTTTTCTTTTCTAGATTTCTAGTCACAAAGATAAATGGTCTGAACTTCAAGAAAAAGTGAAGAACCTGAAAAAAGACTTAAAGGAAATGCAAAAATGGATGATGGAGGTGGAAGAAGAGTACCTAGATAAGAGTTTTGAATACAAGTCACCAGAAGAACTTTTGAAAGATGTAGAGGAGATGAAGGTGAGGCTGGGATAGTCAGTATCAGCAGGCTTTATCTCTCCCTTTAAAGTCAATCAATCATACAAAAGACCATCCATCTGTCTGTAAATCATGATTGTGCAATTGACTCTTGAACAACACAGGTTTGAACTGTAGGGGTTCATTCATACACAGATTTAAAAAAATAAATACTGTAAATGTATTTTCTCTTTCTTATGGTTTTCTTTGTAACTTTCCCCCCCTCTAGCTTACATATAACATACAAAATATGTGTTAATTGACTGTTTATGTTATTCATAAGGCTGTTTAAGTTATTGGTCAACAGTAAGCTGGCCGGTTAGCTCAGTTGGTTAGAGCGTGGTGCTAATAAGTTATTGGTCAACAGTAGGCTTAGTAGTTAGTTTTGGGGGAATCAAAAGCTATTTATGAATATTGATCCATTGTGGTGTTCAAAGGTCAATGGTACATAATCCTTCATAGGAGGATTTCAAATTAAAAAAAAAAAAAAAGGAAGGGGAACTGCTGTGATTCTAGTAAGGAAGGAAGTTCAACATAGCTCATGAGTTGAATCCATGTGGGGCCCTGTGACTTTTTTTTATTTTAGAACCTGGAGAACCACAAAAACCGAATTAAAAAAAATTCAGTGACATCAATCACATTCACAATATTGTGCAATCATCACAACTATTTCCAAAAATTTTCAGGGATAATTTTTTTTTTTCCATTCGGACCAAGAAAGACTTTCCAGTTTGCTTGGGGTTTATTCTTATTTCATCAGATGTGTTCTGCCAGTTACTACATGGGGCATATGCCGCATGTAGATAAGTGGTTTGTTAGAACAGGTAGAGTTGCAGTAATCCATTGTCAAGGGATTTAATATCACTTGGGGCCACAGGATATACTTCCCGTGCACTTATATTCCTATGGCAATAGTCTTGAACCCTCTTTTTCTTTTTTTTTTTAATATGATAAAAGAACTGGGCGTCATTCCCAAATTTCTAACCTTACTTCAAGTCTCCTTCAGTATCCAAACTAAAAGAGATAGTGATTAAAGGCTATTTTAAAAAAATAAGATTAAGCAACACATTGAATGTTTTACACCAAAGTTAACTTGCCTAAAAGCAAAAATCTCTCTGCAGATGTTCTTTAAAAAGTATTTGATTTTGCCCAGCTTGTGTGACTCAGTGGCTGAGTGTCAACCTGTGAACCAGGAGGTCACAGTTCAGTTCCAGGTCAGAGCACATACCCGGATTGCAGGCTTGATCCCCCGTAGAGGGCTTGCAGGAGGCAGTGAATCAATAATTCTCTCATTATTTATTTATTTTTTAAAAATATTTTATTGATTTTCTACAGAGAGGAAGAGAGAGGGATAGAGAATTAGAAACATCGATGAGAGAGAAACATCAATCAGCTGCCTCCTGCACGCCCCCCACTGGGGATGTGCCTGCAACCAAGGTATAATACATGCCCTTGACTGGAATCGAACCTGGGACCTTTCAGTCCACAGGCTGACGCTCTATCCACTGAGCCAAACCGGTTTCGACAATTTTCTGTCATTATTGATATTTCTCTCCCTCTCTGAAATCAATAAAAATATATTTTAGAATGGATTAGATGTAATTATGCATTACTATATATGACAAAGGACTTTTATTATACTTATATTTTCACAGAAGAATAATTTTTAGTGTAGCTTTTAAATATATATATACACATATATATATATATGTGTATGTATATATATGTGTATATATATATATTTTTTATATATATATATATATTGATTTCAGAGAGGAAGGGAGAGAGAAAGAGAGAAAGAAACATCAGTGATGATAGAGAACCATTTGTGGGCTACCTCATGCAGGCCCCACACTGAGGATTGAGCCCACAACCCAGGCATGTGACTTGACTGAGAATCGAACCTTGATCTCCTGGTTCATTGGTCAGCACTGAATCCACTGAGCCATGCCAGCTGGGCTAGATTTTTTTTTTTTTTTTGCTTTAAAATTATTCAGTATATAAGGTATTTTAAAGGTAGCCTACTACATTAAGATGCTGATATTTTTATCATGGGCCCAGACTTTGAAAATATTTAATGTCAGTAAACATAAGTTAAGGATGACTTAGGTGTTAAAGTTGCCTGCCTGTTATTAAATGAAAATATTTATGTGGGACTGTTTTCATTGGGGCATATAATGAGTGAGGATTTATAGCTAGTATTTAATTTAATTTAACTTTATTATATTATTTTTTCAAAATAAGTCTCTCTAGTGATTACCTAAATAGTGTTCTAAATTAGGTAGTTGAAATCACATAGAGGCTTTAATTTTGGTTTGGCTATTTTAGGAAAAAGAAAGACATTGGTTAGTGAGAAAGGGGGACAATTTTCATTTCTATCCTTCCCTGGAACAGAGAGCAAAAGAGGATGTGCTGCAAAAGGAAGTCCGAGTAAATATATTGAAGAACAACATCAAGTTAATAGCTAAAAAGGTGCCCTCTAGTGGCCAGGAATTGACTTCTAAGCTGCAGGTTGAGCTCGAGAATTACCAACTTCTTTGCAAAAGAATTCGAGGAAAGTGCCAAGCACTTGAGGTATGCTATTTTTTTTTTTTTTTCAGTGATGTGTTTCTGAGATTAAAACTTTGTAATGTACTGACCATTTCCATTTCTTGGGGGGAAAAAACTTGATTTTTCCCCCCAAACACTGCATCATAAAGGAAAATAGTTCTTTGTTAATAGGTTAATAAAATGAAGCAGGGACAACAAAATATAGGGGATCAAGATCTACCCTCAATTAAGGTTCATGGGAAAGTCATTTAACATCTTTCGACTTTACATTTTTTATATTTGAGAAAAAGGTTTTTATATCACAGGTGATCTATAGGCAGATTCTATAGATTCTAGAACAGTGTACTGTGAAAATCTCTTTTGTTTTTCCTGGTTAGTGCACAGACAGAAATGAAGATTTTTAAAATGTTTTATTTAGAGTGGCATCTACAGTTAGAATCACCTGAAAGGCAGTAGAGGAAGTAGAACTTGAATATGCTGGTAATTGACTGGGCAATGGGTTTAAGATGCAGATGATTCTATGAGTTTTGTTTTTTATTTAAAATAAAATTGAGTTCTTATTTGTTTCTATATTAGTGTGACTTTTATGTTATTAAAATAGTTTAGGAGCACTTCAATTTAAATTCAGCTCAACTTCAAATAAATGAACATGTTGAAGTATATCCTAAAATGGTAAACAGCGCAACTATAATATTTAAACTGAACTCTACCATTACTTGCTTGTTCTGAAACTATTTTGTGGTAAATATAATTATGGATAATTAAGACTAGTTAATAAGAAAACTACAACTCAAAACCACACTCTTTAATATTAATATATTATTTAATGTAAAATACAGGAGGTTACTTATTTGAGAAATTAAATTTCTATAAACAGAACATGTAGTGTTATGCATGCTTAACCTTAAGTCCTAGTGAATGATATTGGAATTGGACTTGACTACAGTTTTATACAAGTTTTCTTCTCTGTCATAACCACCCTTGATTTTGCTCTTTTTTCTTTTTCTTTTATTTCTAGCCAAAATAACAACTCATTATATATATATTTTTAAATTAATTTTCTTTTTATTGATTTCAGAGCAGAAGGGAGAGAGAGAGAGAAACATCAGTGATGAGAGTCATCAATTGCTGCCTCCTGTATGCCTCACACTGGGGACTGAGCCCACAATGCCCTTACCTGGAATGAAATGGTAACTTCCTCGTTCATAAGTTGATGCTCAAACACTGAGCCATACCGCCTAGGTTACATAATGAATGGCGTCCCAAAATTATCCCAGTCTAACAAAGACCACATATATTGTGTCATTTCTTCAAGCTGTCTTTATTCCAGAGGTAACAGCCTATCTAAGAAAAGAGTAATATGCAAATTGTCCCTCACACCAAGACAAGATGGCTGCCCTCATATGGTCAAAGATGGCTGCCCTCATGTGGATACAAGATGGCTGCCACATGATGACCACTATAAGATAGCCTGCAGGGGAGGGTAGTTGTGGGCAGTTAGGGGTGACCAGGCCAGCAGAGGAGGGCATTTGGGGGAGACCAGGCCAGCAAGGGAAGGCAGTTGGGGGAGGAACCCAGGCCTTCAGGGGAGAGCAGTTGGGAGGGGCTGGGCCTGCAGTGGAGGGCATTGGGGGGGGGGGGGTAACAGGCCTGCAATGGAGAACAGTTGGGAGGGACCCAGGCCTGCAAGAGAGGGCTGTTGGGGGTCCAGGCCAGCAGGGGAGGGCAGTGGGAGCCAGCAGTCCTGGATTATTGAGGGATGTCTGACCACCCATTTAGGCCAGATCCCACTAACAGGCTGCCAGACATCCCTCAAGGGGTTCCAGATCGGAGAGGGTGCAGGATGGGCTGAGGGACACCCTCCACCTCGTGCACAAATTTTGTGCACCGGGCTCTAGTTTTAAAATAAGGAATGAGGGTTTGGAATTGCTTTGAGATTAATTTTATAGTTACTTTGAAATTAGTTTGGGAGAAGAGAAGGAAAAATGCAAAAAAAAAAAAAAAAAAAAAAAAAAGATAAAGGTAAAAGAGAAAAGATAATGGCTTGATATTTTTAAGATGGTAAATGAAAAAGAAGGAAAAAAGGGTTTAAAAATAAAAACGATTTTAAAATTATGTCAGCGATTACCAAGGAATATTGGGCAGAACTAGACCAAATTTCTAACTTAGAGTGAGAATGCCCTTCTTAGAGGAATCCAAATGTATCACCTTGATTATTTTTAGACTCCTGAAAAAGATATGAAATCAGGAACTAGTTCAGACTTACAGAAAAATAGAGGTAATACTATTAAAACATCTTTTCACTATAACTAATGTTAAATTTTGCCATATTTTCTCAGATCCCATTTTTAAAATAGGGTACATTAGTATTGTAGAATCTGATTTCTTCTTTTCCATCCCATCTCATTTCTCTCTCTTTTTTTTTTGAAGTGTTGTTGTTTTTTATTTTATGTACAAAGAGATAGCATTGTCGTAAGGTAGATAGATGTCTTCAATGACCAATTCATAGAAGTTCCCTTAGTCCAACTTGATGAAGCCCATGTCCTTCGCGTACTGGCGGAAACACTGGCGGCACATGTTGAGGCCGTACTTCCGGATCAGGCCGTGGCGGTTGGAGCAGACGCGGCAAGAGCGAGAGCCCTGGCCGAATTTCCTCGGGTGGCTCCAGTAGAGTTGCTGGTGACCCATCTTGCTCACTCGGTAGCAACGAGGCAAAAGGCTCATTTCTCTCTTGAAGTAATCATCATCCAGAAGCTGGTGTATATTCTTCCCAACCATGTTTTTATATTGGTAATATATATACACCCACTTATGTCTCAGTTATCTATTTCTATACAACAATCTCCCCAAAACGTAGTGACTTTTAAAATATATTTTATTGCTTTTTTACAGAGAGAAAGAGAGAGGGATAGAGAGTTAGAAACATTCATGAGAGAGAATCATCGATCAGCTGCCTCTTGCACACCCCCTACTGGGGATGAGCCCGCAACCAAGGTACAATACATGCCCTTGACCGGAATCGAACCCGGGACCTTTCAGTCCACAGGCCGACGCTCTATCCACTGAGCCAAACCGGTTTAGGCTGTAGTGACTTTTAAAACGTTTAAAGCTACTTATTATTTCTCATGGTTCTGTGTCTGAGGTGTCTCAGGGGGGTGGCTTCCTGCTCCGTGCTGTCTATGACTGGCTCACTCAGGTGGCTGCATTCGACTGGGGGCTCAGCAGGGACAGTCACATTGGCCTCTCTCCACAGGGCCTCCCAGTCTCACAGCTTCTCTACCACAAGGCAGCTGGCTTTTCAGAGGGAGATGGCGGGAGCTCCCAGTCCTCTTCAAGGCTTGGCCTCCAATTTGACACAGTGTCACAGCTGTAACATTCTTTTGGTCTAAGCCAGTCACAAGGCCAACCCCATTCCAGGGCAGGAGAAAAGCATTTCACCACTTAACGGGAGTAATGGCAAAAAACCATGGCCATCATTAATCCACCATAGTTCATCCTCTGGTCATATGTTAGTGACAGTCCCACATGCAAAAGTCACTGTCCCAGGGACTCCCTAAGGCTTATCCAGTACAGCATCCAGTTCGAAACCCTGCCTTAAGCCTAAACAGATGTGACTCTCAGGACAGTTTCTTTAGGTGCAGGTGTGGCACCGTGCAATCTCGTGACTTGCCCATTAGGAAGATAAGTTTATCGCACCCCATACACACACATTCAAAGGTGAGCTAGGCATAGGCACTCCATTCAAAAAAGTGGAGGCAGTGGAAGCTACCTGGCAGTCACTATTCATAGTGACTCTGAATTGTAATACTAGTCCTTCTGAAATCTGGCCAGGGCCCCTACACCCGGGGCGGGACTGGTACTCAGTTAGGGCCCAGTTCTGTTTCCTGGGAATGCTGCTCATTTTTCCTTCCCCATCAGAACATGGGCTCTGCTTGCTGTTGCAGCCGAGTAGATGTCTCTGCTCCTCTCTACCTGTAGAAATTTGGGGGACCAGACACACCTTTTCTCATTCAGTCTTATTCAGGGGCTGGCACATGGCAACCTGAGGGTCAAATCTGGTTTGTGTCTCTTCCACGGTGGCCTGTGAGCTAACAATGGTGTGTATGGTTTTCATTTTTAAAGGGTTATTAACAACAAACCAAAACACACACAAAATAAACAGAAAAATCTGTGTCAGGGACCAGATGTGGCTTGTGAAACTTAAAATACTTACTCTCTGGCCTTTAATATATATAATAGAAAAGGTTGCTGCCCCCTGACCCTGTCAACACAACTCATTCGCAGTGCAGGCTGGAACGTGCCTCCTCTCAGTCAGTGGACCTCAAAGAAAACCAACCGGGGGGCTCCACGTGGAATTCTCTTTCCTACATTTACCCGTCAAATAGGCTCCTCTTCTGTGAGAAGGAAAGGGCTGTACCTCCCATAACTTTCTCCTAGGAAGTGGGGGGTATAAATTTATCCCCCTGAAACTCCTCACAGGAATTGGGAGATAGAGATTGCCATTAATACAGTTAGTATAGCTCCATTTTGGGGAAAATATGGTTCTTTGCACATATAGACATGTTCCTATGAATTTAGAAAACAGTAGGAAAGAGTATACAGCAAATTGTTACATCCATTAGCTCTGAGTTGGAATAGGATGGGCCCATAGAATTCCAGTTTTCTATATAATTGTTAAAAAGTGTTGCGATTATAAGTGCTTTTACCTTTCTAGTTTAAAAGCAAACTAATAAAATATTCCTTTTTTTGTTACTAGTTAAGTATTTTTGACTTTTAACCAGGTCCTTGGAATTTATTTTCCTGTAAAGTGTGAGGCAGCTTGCTCGTCTTTGCCTCCCGTCTTCCCTCCAATTGGTCCAGTGTGATTTACTAAAGAACGAGATTTAATTTCATTTATTTGAAATTTCAGTTCTATCAGTTTCTGGGTCTTCACCTATGCTCCTCTATCTAAATGCAGTGGCTGTTGAGTGGAGAGAATATGTAGCGTTGGAGATGCACTCATCTCTAAGTAGCTGCTTGTCTAA